GCTCCATTTTGACTGCAGAATGTGGTTGTCTGGAATAATCTGCATGGAAGTACAAGGGACATCCTACCCCTGCATGGCTGCAGTAAAATGTTTCAACTCTGACACAGTAGGGATATCCTCTCTTCCATACTTTTTTCTGCCCTGTTTAGATACGCCAACTAAATCATAACAAACTGAATTTATTAGATTAAAGCAGGCATTCAAATCATTACTTATTACCTTTAAGTTATGATGTTTTACTGATACTGGATTATAATATGTTGTTGTTCATGATAAACTACTGGCACTGAAGTATATTGTGTGGAATAGAACAGCGGGTAGGAAAAGGTAATTTTTTTCCTCCTTACAGATCTTGATTCTTGCTGTTTTGAAACATCATGACTACATGAACTCCACAGGAAAGATATCTTAAGTAGAAAAAAATTTTGTTATCTAAGAAATAGTGAACAGACAAAAATTGCTGTTGCACATTAGGTTAGGAGAAGGCATTACTAATCTAAGGACAACAACATGAAAAAATTCGCAGGTGCTTATCAGCAAATTCAATTACACTAACAAAAAATGGCTTATAAATGTAAAGCTAAGAAGGTGTTTTATTCATAGTTGCTTTTTCATGGATCTTTACCTGAATTTGATGAGATAAGCATAAAAGGAAACATCAAGTATTCATAGGCAGACCACATACATTAAAAATAATGAAATTGCTCTGCATATAGTAGCTTACCCAGCAGATTGTCACAGCATGCACTCTCATTAGGATGTCTGCATGAAGCTTAGATTCCTAGCACAAGGTAAAAATGGAATATCCAGGTGATGGAGGCTAGACACATGTATTTATCATTATACTAAACTATTTTTCAGGGAACTGTGGAGTCTATAGATCTTTTGTATTATGTATGTACCAACAGTTATTTTAGATGGGTTTTAAACACACTTTCTGAGTCTTCTTTAAACTAACCATTGATTTACACTCTGTGTTAACAGAAAGCTGAGGTTTGAAGATAGCAGAAAAAAATAGGCAAAGGCGAACATTTTGGGAATTGCTGTCATACCAATTTGTATGCATTTGAGTTAATGTCTAGCTTGCTGGGGTAACAGTGGCTTTTTGTATCATTTACTTTTTCTTCCTGGGAAAGCCAGTTTCTAAAACAATACCAGAATTATATAGTGCATGGAAAAGACTAAACCTCTTATATAAAAGAATGAAACTATATAGGTATGAGGGAGGGATGAATGCAGGCAGGGAGGCAGGAAGGGAGGGAGGGAGGAAGTCTGTCTTTCTCAATCTGAAGCCTAAGACACGATAAATGGTGCCTTACCTGGAGCCAATTTGTTATGGCATGATGACACTTCTTATTTTAGATGCCTCCTACCATTATTGACAAGAAACCTGTCCTTGTATCCACTGAAAATGAATTCCTGTGCACAGCCTGATCCTTACTGTGGAAGGTGACGGATACTCTGACAGCAACAGTAGCCTAGACAATCCATTAAGAACATCATGTGAGAAAAAAGGGAATTAAACATAAACAAGAGAAAAAAGGAAACTAGATGGACTATGAGAAAGAGCAAACAAAAAAGCCAAAACATTAATTTTTGCAGAAGATTCAATACAAGTATATCTATGGGGAACAATGTTTAAAATATTGCTCTATCAACACATGCTTGTAATGGAAGCCATCGATGTTTTGGACAAGAGAAATATATGTCTTGCTTTGGGAGATCGTGGGGTTTTTTTTAATTTTTTTGAATGGTATAGTAGATTACATTTGTTCTAATTGTTCACAATAAATACGCATTTTGTTCTTTTTGAAGGATAAGGATGGACAGCAGAGAGGAAGATTTCCTGTTTGTCTTTTCCTGTTGCTTTCTGGGTCAGGTAGAAGTGCCTACAAAAAACAGAACATTAAGATTTCCTTATCTGTCCTATCAAACCGTCTTTATCTCAGCTCATGAGTTTTAACTTTCCACCAATTCTCTCCCCCGTTCCTCTGGGAAGGTGTTTGGCTGCCTGCTGGGTTAAACCACTACAGTCCTTTCTGACATTCAGCACCGGGCAAGAAGGATTGACATAACAACAGATATGACCAGAGTGTGTTTAAACAACTTTGTTATAAGCGTTCATTTGATTATTTTAATAGTTGCTGGTCAAAATGTTGGTTTTTTTGCTCTCAGGGTTGCTGTGCTTGTTCTCAGAGCTGATTATGTAGCATTTAATTTGCTGTGTATGTTCTCTGTTGTGCCTTTTATCAGCTTTGGCAACTGGATTAAAGTTGTAATTTTGCTCTACTGTGTAACTCTGGTTTACGATATGATGAGGTTACTGGTTGTGAGACTAATTTGGTATTTATACTCAGCACTGCCATGTTTAGGAACCATCTCTCAGAAACTACAAATAATTATACTCTTTATTTTTCTCATCAGAGAGCCCATCTATGGGGGAGGTATGGAGGAGTGACACTTTCCCCTGCTCCTTCACCTTCCCCTTTGCACTAGTTACAATGAGTCTTAGGAATTTTTAATATCCTTGGAATGTTCCAATTAGCATGTTTCTATCGCTGTCTCTCCTGAATGTGTTTCAGGTCTCATTTAAGGTTGAACAACTATTTATCACCCAGAGATCTGCCCTAAGGCTGGGGAGTTATGGAGTGGAGGGGTGTGTGGGATAGTATGGGCAAGTGCCTAGGACAGCTGGCACCTCCAGTGATTTGGAACTTCACCCCTGAACAAGTGCAGAACCTGGAAAAACTGGTAAAATATTTGGAAAAAGCTATCACCCTGGTGATTCCAGAGAGGCACAGATCAGTGCAACATCCTGGTGCCTGGCCCAAGCTTACCAAGCCCTGCTTAACACTATTGTCATGGACTGAGTCATGCATTCACTCTCAATAGAGGAGTAACAATGTAACTTATAGATACAAAAAAATGAATGACCAAAGTTCAATGGCAAATGTGTTGGTGGTTTAACGAGATTCAACAGCAAAGTACACTTCAGTATTTAGTGCATAGAGCACAGGGTCAGATAAAATTGTCAGGGAGATTCTATAGCTGAGAGTCACGAGCTTCAGAAAGAATCCCCTTGTGTTCTAAACTCAGAGGGGAGTTTAGGTGCAGCTGTATCCATACTTAGTCTCAGATTTGGTCAAGACCTGATGTCTAAAAGATTATGTATGTGTAGTCCATTTGTTATATAACTTGGCTAAGATTTCAATGTTTCTGTGCATTTATTCTCTATTCACTTACTGAGTATCTGACACAATATGAATGTTCTCAACCTTCAGAGGCATCCCTACTCAAGGGGACATCCTGTCATGCAGCCTGCTGCCATGTGGGAAAATTCAGAAGGCCCTGGGCTGTCCATGATGGAGTAAGATGATTGACCCATTGTCATGGTTTAAGTCCAACGGGCAACCCAGAACCATGCAGCCGCTCACTCACTCCCCTCACTTCTTCCTCCCAAAAGCTCCCAGAAGGATGGTGAGGAGAATTGAAAGAATATAGCTCCCAAGGGTTGAGATAAGAACAGTCCAATAAGTAGGGTACAATACAAAACTACTACTGCTACCACCAATAATAATAATGATAAGGAAAGTTACAAGGGGAGAGGATACAATTGCTCACCACCTGCCGACCGATACCCAACCAGACCCGAGCAGCAATCTGGGCCTTCCGGGTAACTCCCCCCAGTTTAAATACCAGGCATGACGTGCTGTGGTATGGAATACCCCCTTGGCTAGTTTGGGTTAGGTGTCCTGTCTCTGCTTCCTCCTGACTACCCCTCCTCCCTGGCAGAGCATGAGATTGAGAAAGTCCTTGATTAGAGTAAACATTACCTAGCAAGAATTAAAAACATCAGTGTCATCAGAGTTTTCCCAGGCTGAAAGTCAAAAAGCACAGCACTGCACCAGTTACTAAAAAGGATAAAAACAACTGCTACTACTGAACCCAGCACACCTATAGTCATATTTGTGTACCAACTGTAGATACTAGTTTCTTCCAAACTTGGCTTGAGTTGGACCTTGACAAGCACTGTGGTTAGGTGGGTGCATTGCTCAAATTAGCCCTTGGCTATTGTGCCATTATCTGCCTCCCCTGAATCCTTTTTGAGTCAGATACAGCCATCACAACCAGATGCACCATTATGACCCTGCCACTGGTGGTTATCACTTGAGAAGGGTTGTGAAATATAATGGTCAGGTGGGGTGGCAGAGCACACCACAACTATTGTGTTCCCTTGGGGGAAGGGAAGGTTTCTGGATCTGACAACAAAACAACAGGCACTGTGGCTACTCCAACTGCAGTGACTGGCACTGCAGCTGAACCACTGAACCAATCCATGCTGGTATCAGTTGCCCTATACAGGAAAAGAAATATGGGATGTGAAAGTCAGCTCATTTAGTAAGGGAAGAAACTCCTACTAAGAAGGGGAAGGAGGAAGAAGTGAATGAGGCAGGCTACTCCAAAGCAGAGATGTAACAAGCAGGAGGAAGAGGCAGAACTCAAAAACGAGGTGGTAACCACCTGATCCCTATCCCGGCGTGAGCCAAGAGATACACAGGAAAATTTCAGCAGACAGTTTTCCCACTGATAAAATGAGAGTGAGCAGTTTCAGATTCTACATGACACGCATCTATTTTTGCCCCACCTCTACTCCCCTAACCTGTGTTCCAAATATAATTGTGGCTTTTCAGATTATATATAATGGGAATTAATTTCCTATTCACTTCTAGACATGGATAAACATACATTTGCATAAGCAGTGCAGGGTCAGAGACAAGTGGTCAATCTGAGGGAAAAGATGGGTAGAAGCTAGTTATACCCAGTTTTCTGTTGTGAGATAGAGTAGTCCATAGATACTATTAAAATGAATGTAACTATTGAGCTAGTGAAAAAAAAAGTACCTGGAAATGCTTCTAAGTTCAATTCTATAATTCTGGCCACAGAGACATTTAACCAATATTTTATTTTTTATATCTTATTTGTGGTTTGTTTTGGTTGGTTGGTTTTTGTTTGTTTTTTTTTTTCTGGGGGGTTTTTGGTTTTGTTGGGTTTTTTTTGTTTGTTTGTTTGGTTGGTTTTGGTTTTGTTTTTGGTTTTTTCCCCAAGAACATTAGCCTATCATTTCTTCTGAAAAAAGAAAAGCATTAAATCTTCATTTAATGTTAACAGTATAATCTCTGTGCTATGATTTAAATTAGTATTAACACTTTTACCTAGAGGCTAGTTTCTGGAAAACGATGTCACACACACCTAATGCATTCTGATAAAATACCACGAATATATCGATATATCTAGTACCACTGCTTGATGAAGTAAATACTTTTTTTATACTAGACTCTGTAAGCTAACTTGCTTTTTTGTCAATACCATTTCATACTAAAAGAAACAACTTTAAAGTAAGGAATAAAGCTGACCTAACTTTTATGCAAGAAAATCTATCATAAGGATTTATGCTGCTGATATGTTTCAATCAACTCAGGAGTTAGCAGTTTATAATCTTTTGATCTACTGAAACCAGTCTGGCACAGATCAAAACAACAAAACAAGAACTGCAGGGTACAGTATTCCTTGTAGGGATTAATATAATAAAGAAGATACATCATAGAGCTTTATTAAATATTGTAATAAAATCTTTGGAAAGGTGAAAGACAATTCCCAAGGGTAGCACTATCTGCTATACAAAAAAGCAAAACAAAACAAATACCCATTTATGTTTCAAGCTCAAAATTTTGGATTTAAAAAAGGAAAAAATGTTAAGATCTGGAGTTTCATAAACAGGTACCTTGAGAATCACATTTAGTTTATAAGCTGTGCTATAATAAAACCTATTATTAATTCTTCAGTTATTTATAATAATGAGGATCTACAGCTCCATTTCTGAGGGTACATGCGCATTGTTTCCAAATGGTGTGCATCTATGCTGTTCACAGACTCTCTTAATCAGACTGACTGCATGCTGCTACTTGAAATACCCCATATATTGTCTGTGCTCAAATTAAAACAATTCCTATTTTGGGGGGGTGGTTTTGTTCTAAGTGTTTGGAATGAGGGACAGTCATGGTGCTTGCCCGAAAACAGGGAAATACATTGTGTCATAAAGGATATTCGAGCCATGAAGAAGGTTTCAACACTGCTTCAGCACTGAGTAATCTGGAAGGAGCCAAACCAGTTGCAGTCTTACTCATACTGCTTTATAGGTGCCATCACTGGAGTGAACTATTACCCAAAACTGTTGAGCAACTTCCAAAAGCAGTCCAAAGGCAATTATTATGCAGCCAAGGCACTAGGATCTGGGAATGAACAAGAACAGTTTAGATATATCTCAAAGACAACCTTACATTGGGTAATTCCTGCCAGTGCCAGAGGGAATGGTTGGGAAGTAGTGTCTGCATCCATATTAGAATGTTAAACAGTTCTATAGAATGTTATTGGGGAGAATGACATGTCTACTCTAGCAGCTCCACCAGAGCAAGTGGCAGCACACAGTATCTTTCCAACAGGCTTATTGAAAACTTCCTGAAGTCCATACATAGAAAGCTTCTACTGTATTTGTTTTGGGTTACATGTATATGTAATTTCCTAGTAGATGTTTGGTTTGGGGATTTTTTTGTTTTCTTTTGTTTGGTGTTTCATTTGGGTTTTTTTTTTTTTTTTGGTTTGGTTTTTTTTTTGCTGTTGTTTTTGGTTTGGGTTCCCCCCCCCCCTTTGATTAATAAAGAATCATCTTGTTCTACAAGACAGATAAGAGTACAAGATAGATGAGTTATTCATAGTTTGGAGAGTTCATGTGGTTAAGACGCTGTGATCATGGACAAAAATAGATAACATTTTGAATGTCATTTACTTCTACTTAAAGTAGAATGGAATTGTTCTCTCTTGATGACCTTCTCTCTGATCGTTACAAAAAGAATCTAGACATTTAGCTTATCTCCAGGGGTAGATCTCCATCTACCTATATTCTACTTCCTAGGCGAAATCAGTGTTATTCCCTGAATTTTAATCTAAGCCTAAATAAGTCTGGGCCTTTGTTCAATGCAATTAACTGTAAGCATTTAAATGAGATACAAAATACAGGCATCTTTTCATTCTGTGTTTTCTCTACATTAGAAAATAGAAAGCAATAGAATCCTCTTAAGATCTTTTCACTGAGCACAGAGGACACCTAAGAGTGACAAGGTTCCCAATTTAATTACTACCTTGAATATCTAAAATTTGCTAGCATGAATTCAAGTGATATAAAGACTTACTGGGGATTTCAGAAGAGCTTATTTGCAACTCAATTGCTTAAGTCCTTTAAAAATAAACCTTATGTGTCTTTGGATGGGATTTATCTGGTCAAATGAAGATAGATATTCTCTAGTCACACTAGAATTAGTTACCCTTTTCACTTTAGAGACACTTTCACAATGAAATAGATACTATTGTGAAGCAAATGTCCAGCATAAACTAGATTTAAAATGTTCATAAAATATATTTATTTCCTAAAAATACAGTCAAGGAAACTACTTTCAGCATACTTACCTAGATTTATTCAGATATACCCCAGCCTTATGTCCAGGTTTTTTTCAATGACTTTTCAGTGACCAAAAGATCTTGATCAGAAAAATAGTTCTTTAGCAAAGGTAGCCATGAGACAAAGAACTTCAGATAATAATCTCTGCCAATGTAATGTTACATATTTCACTCAGGTTGTTCTTAGAAGCTGTCCCCTCAAATTGAGTATTGTTTTTAATGAGGGTTTTTAACTCCTACAATCACCACATTTGCTGAGGCCTATAACCAGCTGACTCTGCCTTTATTTAAGGCAGTAATTAAGATTTTTATTTTATAGTTCAAAATAATAAGACTTTAAAATAAGATCTTAGATGTTATTCTGATAACAAGCTATCAATCATAGCTACTAAAAATGATCAATAAAAATTATGTAAGGAATAAATTCCCTGAACTTGATACATAATCATTATAACTATTTGTATACAGTATAATTTTCAGCAATAGTCTATTATCCCTGAAGGGAAAATAAGCCTAGGTCTTTTTAAGATATTGGTATTCACTACATCAAGTATTTCTACAATAATCTGACCATTCAAAATGTAGCTAATAGATTAAGTATTATCTAAGATAATAACATAAATCTCATTTAGGATAACGAATTTGTTATAAACCAGAAAAGAATAAATTACAGCCAGATTCTTCACAAAAGATGGTTGTAATTTATCCTGAGTAGCAATCTAGAAAACATTTTTTTTCTCCACAATTAGTCTGTTTTTAATAAGGCAACTAATATTACAACACAGGTATCAACTCAGCAGTCTCTCCCAGATGCACATTAAAATATACCTTTATTTCTGTTTAATTACACTTAGTATCACCATCTGTACAAGAAACAATTCACCTCTGGAAGTAACTACACCTACAGATACAGACTTTGTACTGGAAGACACAGTAACATTTGGCATTTTGAGGCACAAACTCCCAGGTTTCTGGACGCTCTGGATTTTATCCAAGTTTACATTATATTCAGTGAAAATAAAAGATTTCATGATTTTAAGTGCCTAAAATGCAGTAGCTTTTGTTTTCCTTCAGAAGTAAAGCTTTCTAAGGTATCTTAATGAACTTGGGACAGCCTGAAAGTAAGGATTTGTCCTGTTCCGACACAGTCCTGTCTGTTGTGAACACAGATTTGGGTATCTCCTCCTTTTGATTGTGTTGACTGCATTCACCACATCTATCCACCTAAGACCTAAACAATTACAAACTGTTTCAGTTAGCTTGAATTAGCACAGAATAAAAAGGGTAGCATCAATGATAACATCAGACAAAAATATTTTTAGATTATATGAAGAGAGAAAGTTTATTTTTTTCTGCCATCAGATAGTATTTATATTTGATATACAATTTGAGAATCACAATATTATATTTATAATTACATTTTGACTTCTCATAAGAATGTGAAGTGAAATACTGATTTTTGGATACTATATACTAACAGGTCTCATCCAAAAGCTGTATAAGAAAATGAAGGGTTCAGCCTGGATAAAGAGAGAAATGAGAGAAAGGAACTAATTAGGACAGCATGTTCTAATGGAGGAAGGAGGTACATTTCTCATCCTTCAAAGTAGATTTGATCACGGAATGTAAAGAACCACCTGTCTTTTACTATGATTCTATAATGCAGTTCTCAGCTAGGTGGAACTAAATATGGTTTATCTTATTTCTGTGGACACAATGAGTATTCTGGCACTTTCTAGTGAAACTTTCTGCTAAAATATGGAAGTAATAGAGAAGGTGTCCCCTACGAAAAGGTGGACCAGAATAATACCTATTACAGACAGGTGATGCATTGGATGGAGAAGTTCCTTCTGTTGATCAGTAACGAGTAAATCCCTAAAATATACATTACATAGTTTGGAGGCCCAAAACATCACCATTTTCACTCTATAGACCTTCTCCTATTGCACTTTCTACAGGCTAATATAGATTGAGCTTTTGCTTGTTTATAATGCTCTACTATTCAGAGTAGCTGTAGTGCCCTAGTCCCCTTTGCCCTCAATTTCTTGTTCAAAGATTTGTAAGGTGAACTCTGAGAAGTTTCTGAAAGTACATCATTCCAGGCAGAGATTATAGAGCTGAACTGAATCCTGAACTAAGGACTTTATAATTCACTTTCAATTCATATTAAACTACTTTTCTTTCAGACACACCTTCAAGAACAACAACAACAAAAAAAAAAAAAAAAAAACAAACCAAACCCAAAAGAGGAATAAAACCCATCCTTCTGGAAACCGAATCACTATAATCTGTATATGCATTTTTCTGTCGACTGCTAACAAGGCCAAATGCAAGGCTGGCTCTGTATTCACTGTAGACATCAGCTGTGATGTCATTGAACTCTGTTATAAAGGCATGTTTCACAATATCCACTGCAATTTCTGAAGCAATCACCATGCAAACATCTGGGAATAACACCCAAAGATGATCTGGATTCCATGAGAACTGTTCCATATTTCTTAGACACACAATTAACAGCAGCACATAATTGGTGAACCTCTCCTTTATTTCACTATTTGACATCTGAAAAAGGTTGTTCTTCTCAAACTTCTTGAAAACACTTCCTTTTATTTCAACGAAATTATTGGACATCATGATGGTAAGCAGTGATTTATTGTGGGAGTTGAAGGCCACATTAAGGGTTGTTGCTTGAACCATTATAAGAATAGCATGCAGGAAGACATACAGCACTGCCGTGAAGACGTGAGGAATCACACCCATGTGAGCTCTTTTTCTTTCCTTAGGTTCTGTAGCTGTCCAATAAAGAGCATCAAAAAAATCTTGTTCAAATGAAGAAAATAGATGATTAGACACCTCCAGTATGTTATTTCTATTGAGTAATACTAACAACTTACACATCAACTGAACAAAATCTTCACATATCTCAGAAAGACTCCACTTTGTCTGACATGATTTGTGAAAACCACTCTCTTTAAATCTAGCTAGTTAAACTGAATTATTTTTGAGAAGGATGATAATAGGAAAACAGTCTTCTAATGAACACAGTACTCACACTATGACTATAAGATCACTACTGGTGAGTGACCCGACTCATGTTTACCATGTGCATCCTTCATCTCCTTCTACTGTAAGCTTCAACCATTTTACTAAAGATTATTGCTGCTCTTCTTAAAGGTACACAGGGCAGTGGGTACATATCTTTAAGATGTGTTGTTGATAATATCCATGACGAAAGCCAAGTGAACAAGCATCTGAAGACAAATTCCAAGACAAATGAAAAGCATCTGAAAATTACCTGGGCTCATCAGGTCTAAGCAAATGACAAAATGGAAATAAAAGGTACTTCCAAAGAGCACATACACAGTTTTCAGTCAATTATTCCTATCCATACATAAATAATCTGGTTCATTCCAAGGATGGAAAATTTTTAAAAAATTCAAAAATCTGAAGATGTACATTGCCTGATCCTTACTTAGCAGACATTCGTTAAATTATTCTGAAGTATTTGTTATCCAGCAGTCATAGTTGCATTTTCTTTTCTGGAGAGTGATAGCACTGTTCTTGCTTCTGTGGTGCAGTTCCCACTCTCTGCCTTGCTACATCTCATCAATGACGAAACATTGAGAGTGCTCTTTTTTCTTTTTTTTTTTTTTTTTTTTTAATAAGAGTTATACAATACTTGTCTAGAAAGTGAACTTCTCTTAAACAAGTATTTTTTCCTAAAGTGCATAACCAGTTCAGGTAAATTCTACAGTGTAGGGCCAATTCCTAACAAAGATTCTGGTATCGTTCCAGTTGATATAATTGAGAGTGGCACACACATATAATTCAGTATGGCAGAAATTTCCTTACCTTTTAAATCTGCAGTCAGGAGAGCAAAAATTTTGATGCCTGGTGATATGTTCAGACAAGCACATTCATTAAAAAATATTTGCTGTCATTTGTATTTGTTGCTGTGGAATGCTTATTTAACTTGATTCCATGGTAGTTCGTTCTTCTTCAGAGGCTAACTTCATACATCACAATTTATATAAATGTTACATTTTTGTAACACATGTACTAAATGATGCTTTTCAAATTACAGTAATACATTGTATCCACCAACATGCATTATTTCTTGTGAATAAAATGGAAATTAGAATAAAGAAAATTGCATGACTGATTGCTTTGCTTTCTGAAGCTCATTATATGAACTAATGTACATATGAAAATATCCCATTTAAGTTATTCTGAGATATTTTTGTTATGCATCTAAATCAGATCCAACGTTTTGGACATCAGTAAATGCAAAGTATCAGCCATAAATCAAAACTTAATTTATCTTCAGATCCCAAAAGGCATGAAAGAAATTATTAGGCAGAGAAAAGATTTACAGACATACTCATTATTCACAGTGCATATTCTTCTTCCATAGGTTAACATTTGCTGTGTAAGGGAAGACTAGTGGCTTTAATTTAAAATCATATTTCGCTCAAACTCTAATGAAGACAATCTTTCTGCTTCTGTTCCTTTCAATGTTTTCTAAATCAGTACAATATTTTTTCATAGTCAATTACTATAAAAGAATAAAAAAGCTTTAAGATACAGAAACTGACACTAGTGGGCACTCTTAATCCATGGTACTTCTGAACTCAATTATTCAGCAAAAAATAGATGTAAGAAGTCCTCGTAGTGCAAAGATATAAATTAATATCACAGTAAAAAAATCACTGTGGGCAAATATTGAATAGTGGTATTTTTTAAGTCTTAAACCCCAGGAAGCTGAGCAGATGAGACGGTAGTTTGTCCACCACTTTCTTCATAATGGTTCATTATACAAATGTCAATGTGAATATTTTTCACACCTGTTTTAGATGCTATTTGTTTATCAGCATGAGAGGAACACTAAAATGTTGAAAGGATGGAGCAACTGGATAACTTTTGAGACACCAAATGAATGAGAGAAAAGGCATTATTGTCATTTATGTCAGAACTCTTCCTTCTGCTTGCTTACATACTTTCTGGAGTAGGATGTAGGATGGTTTGTGGCTTTGTGGAACACAAGATTGATATTTGAGCCTGGTAGTGGTGCCCTCTCCATCCCTAATTGTTTTTAAAGCTTTTACAAGTGTCCATCAGTCAGTTCTCTGTAATCGTAACATTGCTCTTTGTCATTTTCAGGATGCTATGTGTTTCAGAAAGACACTTCTGAATGTAATAGGCATAGTAAATAGGATCATATTTACTTCATGTGCACCATTCCAGAGGCCCAAGAAGTGCAGGGCTGTACTGTTAAGCAGTAATGCAAATATCTGTAGTTATTTATTGCATTCATCTAATACAGATGGATGGTTGATAAGACCCAAAGGTAAATGTGAGGAGTAAATGGGATGTGTATGACATTAGCATATAGTCAGAAGAGGAGTTCTAATAGTATTAAGAGGAGAAAATATCTATATTCTTTTTCATAAAGGGTAGCTGATGGAGTCTTTATATAATGTTAGGTAGAAATTTAGTCCAGACTGAGTTCTTCATATTTCCTGAATACTTTTGATTACAAGAGTGCATTGAGGTCCACCTTTTACATTGAGCTCACTGTTGGCTGGAGACTGACAAATTATTCAGGGAAAATGTAGTCAAATCCTAACTCAGCAGCCTGCTGTCAACAGGATGAGTTTATGCCAGGGTATATGACATCTGAGAGAAGTACTAGTAATGACAAACCAGTCAGCATCTGTTGAAAATATTCATCTACAAAACTGCAAATGCCAAATAAGAACAAATTACCTGTGCAAAATAAAAGTCAAGGAAAATAGTAGGTCCCTAGATCACACTGATGGAAAAGATTTGAAAGATGGTCTCTTTTTGTAAGGAGGAGAGTAGACGGTGGGACTCTTACGTGACATGAGCTGAGCTAAGAGTGACTCTGTGTTTCAGAAAAAGGATATCCTCTTCCCCAAGGCTCGTACTTCGGTCTTCTCTGTCCTTCTCCTTGCCTGACCACATACAGTATTGTTTCAGTGTTGTAGCTTGGCAGAAAGCTAATCCAAGTGAAATGGAGGATAGTTTTCTGATGGGCTAGATTAAAAAATGTTCTCCTGTTTACTAGACTTTACAAAATTACTAAGGCTTTTGTTATATAAAATGCCAGTCTTCGAAATGTCCTCAAGGTAAATCACTACTGGGTATGTATTGTGACTCCCCCAATCAGAAGCATAACTTTTGAAATTCTTAACCAATAATTATGATATGCTTATATTAAAAAAGTTGAAGACAGAATAACCCCACTGACATTTTTATGGTAGTAGACCTTGCTGTAATTACTGGCATCACACCATAAAATAGTGACAATTGTGAGCCACTGAGCACCCATCTGAAGAGTTTGAATGCTTTAAGGTCTCTGGGGAGACCTTACAGAAGCCTTCCAGTTCCGTAAGGGGGCCTACAAGAAATCTGGAAAGGGACTTTTTACAAAATCACGTAGTGGCAGGACAAGGGGGAATGGGTTTAAAATGAACGAGGGTAGATTTAGCTATTAGGAAAAAGTCTTTCACTGTGAAGGTAGTAAGGCACTGGAGCAGGTTGTGCAGAGAAGTTATGGCTGCCCCATACCTGGAAGTGTTGAAGGCCAGGTTGGACAGGGCTTTGAGAAACCTGGTTTGGTAAAAGGTGTCCCTGCCGACAGCCAGGAGGGTTGGAACTAGATGATCTAAGGTGCCTTCCAACCCAAGCTATTCTATGAGATAGAAATCCCAAGACAGTGAAGTGTTGCGTCATGGTCTCGCTTCGTTACTGTGCTGCAGAAGTTCCTGACGCTATTGGAATGGCTGCCTTAGAGACTGCTTGTAGATTTGGGAGAGGAATCTAGTTTCTAACTTGACATATATTGAAATTCAGCTTCGATCTGCCATCTTGGTTAGACTTCAGCCCCTGAGACTGTATCTTTAACAAATTATTTTACTTCTACTGTCTAACTGTTAGGATAAGTATCAGATTTCTTTCTTTCATTGGGTTCCCCATTACAAGAGGGATAAGAAGGGCCACTGGGATGATTAAGGTTCTGGAACATTTCACAGATGATGAAAGGTGGAGAGAGCTGGGACTGTTTAGCCTGGAGAAGAGAAGGCTTAAGGGGATGTCATCAAAGCATATAAATATCTTCTGGAAGGGTATAAAAAGGACAGAGCCAGAGTCTTTTCAGTGGTGTTCAGTGACAGGACCAGAGGCAATAGGCACAAACTGAAACACAGGATACTCTCTCTGAACATCAGGAAACAATTTTTTACTGTGAGGCAGACCAAGCACTGATGCAGGTTACTCGGGGAGGTTGTGGATTTTCCATTCTCAGAGTTATTCAAAAGCTGTTGGAACATGGCCTTGGGCAACCAGCTGTACATGACCCTACTTAAGCAAAGGAGTTGGACACAGTGCAACCTCCAAAAGTCCCTTCCAACTTCAACAATACTTGATTTTTGTGATTCTGTGATTCTCAGAATTATTAAACTACATGTGTATAAGCAGAGGTGCAGTATCTTAATTCATGTGTTTTGCAAAAGGAATGATGAAAGCCTCTGGTGATATATGGGGGACATATATCACAGGGGAGACTTTGAATGAAGGCTAACATAGTAACAGAACATGTGGGCATAGTGGCATAAATGTTAGAATTAATGTTGTTATTGCTGGAGACAAGGCTAATCCCATTGTGTATTTTCAACTTTTTATTTTTTTTAAATGTTACACTAGAAAATTAGTTTTGTAGGGGCATTTGTTTGCTTTCTTGTAACTCGAACATCGTCTTGATTAACTGATCAAAAGTACCACAATAAAAATAAGTATTTTCTGTTCTGTTTTATACCAAGGGAATTTGGACTGGTATAAAATAGATTG